TTTGTGTTCTTATCTTTATAATTTCCTCCTCATGAAATTTGGGTTTGATTTGTTCTTCTTTTTCTAGAAATTTGAGCTTCAACATTAGGCTATTTATTTGTTTGTTGTTTTTTAAAGATAAAAGGAGGGAAACATTAACAGACATACAACATTTTACAACATATCACAAGCACAATACAGACAATACAGAGATAAAAACAAAGTGGTAGGGAATTAACAATGGTGGTTGTATTACATACTGATATCTTCAAAGTCGCTTCTCATGAAAACAGATATAGACATGCAATACTGGTCACGTTCTGTTTTCCTGATGTGTTAGTTCATCACTATAAATTTCCCTTATAGGACAGCTTCCATTGAATCCTATAAGTTTTATTATGTTGTATCAGAATTAGGGTTGAATTATATATATAATATTAATGTCATCTTTAATTTGCTCTGTGAGCCATTGGTTGTTCAGAAGGGTGTTGTTTAATTTCCATTTGTTACTGTAGTTTTTGTAGTTTCCTTTCTCATTGCTTTCCAGTTTCATTGTGCTATGGTCGGATAGTATGCGTGAGATGTTTTCAGTTCCTCTACAATTACTTAAACATGTTTTCTTAGCTAATATATGATCTATTTTGGAGAACATCCCATGTGGAGCTGAGAAGAATGTGTATTCTCGTGTTTTCACATGGGACACTCTGTAGACATCTACCAAGTCTATTTGTTCACAGCATTGATTTAATTCTAATATTTGTGTGTTGTTTTTTTGGTCTAGTTGATCTATTTGTGAGTGTGGAATGCAGTATTAAGTTCTTGCACTACAAATGTGTTGGTGCTTATTTGATTTTTCATGTCAGTTAAGGTTTATTTTATGTAGTTTGGTGAACCTGTGTTTAGTGCGTAAATATTTATGATTGTTATTTCTTCTTCTTAGAGTTTCTCTTTAATGAGTATGTAGAGACCTTCTTTGCCTCTTTTGATTAGTTTTGACTTAAAATTTGCCCTGTCTACAAATAGCATAACTATCCCTCCCTTTTTCTGGGTTCCTGTGGCATTGAGAGTTGTTTTCCATCATTTAATATTTGCTTTCAGGAATAACTTTGGAGGTATTGCATCCCTTTCAACTTCCTTAAAGAGTTTCAACATTATTATCATTAGTTCTCTAAATTTTACTTTTAGTCTATAAATTTATTTTTCAGTTAAATATGTTTCTTAAATGCAGCATATTATTTAGTCTGTCTTCTTCGCCCATTCTGCCAGTCTGTTTCTCTTGATTGGTGAGTTGAGACCACTTACATTTATGTTTATAACTGATATATATTGGCTTTTCTTTTTCATGTCATTTCCATATTTTTTTGTTTCTTGTCTTACTGCTCTGTTTAATTGCTTTCCTGCCTGGCAGCTTCTTTCTATTCATATTCCTATATATGTGATCTTCATTATCTTTTTCTAATCTGTCTTTAAGAGCACTCTATAGAGCTGGTTTGGTGGTCATAAATTTCTTCCATTGCTCCTTATCATTCAAGTATCTTATTTCTCCATCAAATTTGAAGGGTAATTTTGCTATGTACATTAATCTGGGTTCAAGATTATTTTCCTTTGGGGCTTAAAATATTTCAACTCCAAGCTCTCCTTGACTTGAAGGTGATGTTTTTTTGTGATTCTGTGATTGTGATTCTGATGGGTGTCACTTTACAGGTGATATGTTTATTTTTCTAGCTGCTTTTAATATTTTGATCATCTTCTGAATGTCTAGAATCTTGATTATTACATGCCTTGGTGTGGATTTATTTTGCTCATGGCTACTTGGAGTTCCATATGCTTCATTTAGGTGTATGTTAAATTTTTTATCCATGTTTAGGAAGTTTTCTGCTACTTTTTCTGTGAAGAATTTTTTTAATGGTTTTTGTGCTGTCTCTGTCTTTCTCACTAATTCCAGTCAGTCTTATGCTATACTTCTTTGCTTTATCTTGTAACTATTAGATTGATTTTTCATACTCTCTTGTGACTTTTAAGATTCCTTTATTTTCCTGGTTGCTAGTTGTGTTCCTGTCTTCTCGATCTGGTATAGTAATTTTCCCTTTCATTCAATCTGCTGCATATACTTTCAGTGGAGTTTCTAATCTCCTGCATTTCTGTTTGGTTCTGCTGCATTGACTACATTTCTTGTCTATGTTTTTCATTCATAGTTTTCATCATTTTTCTGAGCTCATCTATTTGTTTATCTGTGTCTGTTTAATGTCTTTCATTTTGACAGTGATGTCTTTTTGTACTTTAGAGATTATTTTTTCTGTGCCCTCATCTATTTGCTTTTCACTTCTGCTGCTGTCACTTCAGAGAGTTTCATTTGTTGTTTTCCAATTTCCTCTATTTCTTTGTGTTGTGAATTTGTCCTGGGTGAGCTGGGCTTTGGGGATTGTATTTTTCTTCTTTGACTTCTCATTTTCTATTTTTTACTTTATTTTCTATGTTGATCCTTTTAGCTTTCTAATATTAGATAGCCTTAAGCACTGATATTGAGGTTTTCCTAGGTGGTGTCCATTCCTCCACATGTTTCCTCTTTCTGGCACCACAGTCCTGGGGTAATGGAAGATGGAAGCAACGTAAATTTACACTTCTCTCACTGGCACCACCATCCCAGGGCAATAGAAGAAGCACTGGGCATGGACTTATACTCCTCTCACTAATACTGCCCTGCTGGGTACAGCAGAGGAGGTGCAGAGTGTGGATTTACATTCTCCCAGCCTTATCTGTTGATGCTTTTGTTGGGCAATGGAAAAGATGCAGGGCAAAGGCTTACATCTTCCTGCTGCCATCGCCTTCATCCTTCCCAACAGAATTGCCATTCTGGCACAGTAGAGGAGGGGGCTTAATCTCTTCCAGCTGCCACTGCTGACCCAGAACCATGGAGGACATGTTGGGGGGACTTACAGTTTTCCCACTGGCTCATCCTCCTCTTCTTTCCAAGCTTGACCTCCTAACAGTGGGTCAGCTCTATGCCCCAATAATCCACAAATCCTCTAAACAGTCTACCTATCATCCTATTGGAGTTTTGTGGGAAATTTAGATTAAACCATAACAGGGTCCTGCATCACAGGAGACATGGGTACATGTCCTGCCCTAAGTCCTGGATTCCTCATGTAGGGGTGACAGCATGGGCACCTGCTCACTTCTTTTGAGAATACTGGAGATCTTAGGGAGGTGAGGGACTTGATCTGAGAGGGTGTCTTCAGGTTGGCCCAGGCAACTCCACGTGGTCAGAATACACAGGGGTCACAGAATCTGACAGGAGTCAGAATGAGTACCATAAAAGAAGATTGAACCTACCCTGCCCAGACAATAAGCAAATGTTTGCTAGGAAACATAATCTGCACTTTTATTCATCCCAGTAAAGCTAGAAAGGGTGGTGAAGATAAGGCCTGTGTCTTAGTTCGGGGTAATTTTTCTCAGGGAGTTGAAAGCCTTGTTAAGAAGGGGCTAGACTCTGGACAATAAAAGTAGGATACCAGGCTCTGGGAGGAATCTAGGTGAGCGGAGAGGAAACCTTGTCAACAGAGCACACAGTACCCCAACCTCAATCTGTCCTTCTGTCACCTGTTGTCAGACCCAAGGAAAGCAGGTCGGCTGGCTTTAATCACTTCTTTGAATGTCTCACAGAGAAAAGACTGCAAGGGCTGGGGACTTAGCTCAGCAGCAAAGCTCCTGTCTGGCAAGCGCAAGGTTGTGAGTTCAGTTCCTGGTACTGGAGAAAAACCAAAAACCAAAAACCAAAAAAAAGAAAAGAGAAAGGGCTGTAGTTTAATGGTGAAGACAGGTTACCCCATGGAGAGTCCTAGACCTTTCCATTTATAAAAATGGATGCAGCAGATTCCTTTCCTACCCCTTGGGCCCAGCTAAATTTTTCTACTTCCAACTGTTACCTCATGTAGCTGTGTACAAATGTGTGTTTTCTTACTGCCTTTTATTGCATCTCAGGGAGGTCGTCTCTTGCTCTGAGTGTTTTCCTCAGACCATTGGAGGGCTGGTGTTGAGGCCCTGATCAAGAGAGTTGAAGGCCCTGAGTGAGCAGAGAAGGGACCATACATTCAAAGCGGTGGGAATTTCACAGAGTCAAGCTCACCCCTTCTAGGAAGGCAGCAGGATTGTGCTTGAGGTACACAGCCTGAGGGCCTCCTTACTTTCTACAGGACCTCCAGGAACCAGAAGTGGAAGTCTTGGTCTGAGGCTGTGTCCACAGCTCATTCAACAACAGAGGAGGCCCAGCAGCACCAGGAGTCCAGGTGAGGTGCATGCCCTGAATGTGTACCAAGGGCTCCCAGGACAGAAGATACTCCAGGTGCTCGGCACTCATAAGCCCTACTGTGTTCCCTAGAGCCTGCCCTGTATGATTCAGCTGCACTCTAGGAACAGTATCACTTCCTAACACAGATTCTTGGGGACAGTTCCTCCAAGAGGACAGGATTCTGTGAAGAAGTAGAACACCATTCAAAGAGAAGACCTGTCCTGGCCCTTTAAGGGAACCAATAAGAATACTACTATCAGCTGAGTATAGTCACAATATCTCTCTGTCTCTCTGTCTCTCTCTGTCTCTCTGTCTCTGTCTCTCTCTGTGTCTCTCTGTCTCTGTCTCTCTCTGTCTCTCTGTCTCTGTCTCTCTGTGTCTCTCTGTCTCTGTCTCTCTGTCTCTGTCTCTCTCTGTGTCTCTCTGTCTCTGTCTCTCTCTGTGTCTCTCTGTCTCTGTCTCTGTCTCTGTCTCTCTCATTCTCTCTCTCTCTCTTATTTTTCTCCAGAAACTGAGACTTTATCACCAACTTGCTGTTCCAAGGAGAGTCAGAACATCTTCATAGTCGGAGGACCAGCGCAGCAAGCTAGGGAGTGGAGGTGCAGATTCTCAAGCCTGAGAGAGAGCAAGTAGAAGCCACTTCTTCCTCTGCCTCCTCTTCCTGCTGTACTCAAATCTAGACTGCATCAAGAGAAGTGCCTCGGTGTGTGATCCTGTCCCTAGAATACTCAAGATGTCCTCTCACAACGCTGCCATGGCCTCAAGTGAAAGAAGCCAATCCAATGAGTTCTACAGTAGGCAAAAGGAGGAAGAGGATCTGAAAAACTCAGAAGATGTTCTAGTCCGTCAGATCTTGCGACTTGTCTTCCTAGATGAGAAGATAGCTAAATTGTTGCCATTCCTGCTCCTCAAGTATCAAAAGAAAGAGCCAATCACCAAGGCAGAAATGCTGCACATTGTGGGTGAGGATTACCATGTGTACTTCCCTCTGATTTTCAGTCTAATGTGTGAGTGCATGTGCCTGAGCTTTGGCATTGATATGAGGGAAGTGGATCCTCCTGGCCACACATATGTCCTTATTCCTCTCTTGGGCCTCACTTATAATGGGTTACTGGTTAATGACCAGATCATTCCCAAAATCAACCTCCTAATAGTCATCCTTACTACCATCTTCATGAAGGATAATCGTGCTAGTGAGGAGGACATAAAAAAAGTGCTGAGAATGAGGGAAAAGTTGCCCCAGAGTAAATACATTGTTATTAGGGAGCCCTGGAAATTCATCACTCAGGATTTGGTACGGGAACAGTACCTGGAGTATCGGAAGGTGCCCCATAGTGATCCAGCTCGCTATGAGTTCCTGTGGGGTCCAAGAGCCCATGCTGAAACCAGCAAGATGAAAGTCCTGGAGCATTTGGCAAAAGTCAATAGGAGAGATCCCAGGTCATACACACGTCTGTATGAAAATGCTGTGAGAGGTGACCTACAGCATGCCATGCTTGACTGATAGAACACAGAGGGATTAGGTATAATATAGGGAAGAGTATTGTAGCTGGCTTAACTCAGACCTCATGTGAGAAAAGACCCACTGTTCAGTCTATGTTTGTGGAGAGCAGACAGTTTTCTAAGTAGTGCATGACCAAGATATGACAGGGATAATACAATCCATACCATCATGATGGTTGTTCTATTTGGGATGCATGAAAATTGACATGTGCTTTTCTTCATGACTAATCTTGTTCCTTTTTTCAAAGATTGAAGAAACTTGGACATCTTGTGTGAAGGATATTGATCTTACATGTATTTATTAATTTTCTGATATTGCTGGTTGATTTTTATTACTGATGTGAATATGATCTTGTGTGATTTTGATCACAGGTATTTTGCTCTTAAATTTTAAGTGTGGGTATCTTTGAAATGTTGTAAAATCAAATGGGAAATTGTTTATTTTGTTCATAAGATGAAATACGTTACTATACTATTGGAATTAGAATTTCCTTGGAAATGTTTATGAGCTTTGCATTAGATGGTACCCAGAAATAGGCATAAGTATAAAACCATGATGTTCTATATTATTAAAAATATATGTGTACCTGAATTTTCTCAGTTTCTTTCATTACACGGTATCAGGAGAATTTGCTGTCAGTATAGAACTCCACCTGTTCACAGCACATTTAGCCCCAAATTCTCCTAATAGCCATGCTCTTTGGAAGGCCCCGTGTCTACAGTAGAGATATGAGTAGAGGAGACTGAGCAGGAATAAACTTATGCTATAAAACAGTGAAGTGTAGTAGCACCACCAATATTGAGAGGTAGAGAGATGTCCTCAGGAACCTAAAGGGCAAGTAAGAGAGCACTGAGGAGGTGGAGTATAGTGGAGAGCTGCAGTGGGTGAGCACTGGGACATAGCAGCTTCTGTCGTGGAGTAACTGCAGTTTCTTCTGCTGGAGCTGATTTTAATGGAGCTATATAGTAGTCTTGGCCAGATCCTCAGATGATGTGTCTTGGGCCTGAGATGGTATCCTGAGAGAATGGAAGACTTTTATGAGCAACATTTTTAGAACATGAATAAAGATGACAGGAATCTTCACCTGGGACATCTATGAAAAGAGTGGCCCTACAGATGGCAATATGCACGGCACTTATGCCCAGCCTCTTCAAGGATTTCTTGAGAGATAAGGATGACTCGCAGGTGAAGTGAAGCCCTGAGGTCCCTGGCCAGGTCCTGGGAGTGTCCACTTTCTAGGGTCTTTCATTTCCCCAGTTGATTGACTTCCAGGGGAAAAATTCTCCACTTCAGTCCAGTTGGCCTCTACACTTTTACAACATGTCTGTCGTGATCTGGCCGGTGGTATCAGCCAGCTACACAAGTGATCACATGACTTCCTGAGCAGGTAGTTCTCCTTCCAGTAACTCAGGGTTGGCAACTGTCTTGTCCCTGTCTTATGCCAGTATATATTCTTGTGCAGTTTTCACTTATTTCCTTAGGGAAGAAAGTTTATGCTGGTGATGTCAAGACATGAAAACTTTTCTTGAAGTTTCATAAAATTGCATTTGTGCTGACCTTCCCTTGTTACTAGAATGACCAGCATTTTTGGACCTTTGTTATAGATTTCTTGGGAATCCCAAGGTTAGGTTTCTGCTGAAGGGGATATGATTGAAAATAGATGTTCCAATGGAAAGGAAGCTAGCATGGAAGGGAAGAATATGGCTACTCACCCAAAACCCAGGAAGTTTGAATTAGTTGGTTCCAGCAAGTGAAAACTCCCCAGCATCTTATCAAGGACTACAACCTCTTAGATATAAAATATGAAGGGAAATGATTATTGAATAACATTTCTACCTGATTTCTTATTTAAATTCCTCTTGAGCTGCATCTTCCCTGGGAAACACATGAATACATTTTCAAGAAACAAAGTGATAGCATCTGGGTTAAGATAATAGTAGAACCAGCTGTTTCTCACCAATTATTCCCTATATGTCAGAAAATATAGCAAGTGTTTTAATATTCTTTTTACATTCCACTAGTCCTACAAACAAACAGGTGCCTAACCAAATTTATAGATGATAAACTGGAGGACCACTTTTCAGGATCCCTGTGTAGGAAATGACAAGTCCAGGAATAGACTCTTAATGTGAGGTCATCTACAGACCGCTGTGCTCCCAATCCTCCCAACCTGAAATCAGCTGTGTTTCTGAATTTTCTCTATACTCAGAGAAATAAAACATATATTTCCCAGGGTATATAAGGTCCCTGTGTCCAAGGCACTGAACCCTGGCTTGAATTAAGAATGTAAAATGAAGCAGACTATGGGTACACCCTACTCCCAGGGGAACTCTCCACAATCCCCTGTCAACACCCATGTCATGTAGAAGGACCTCCCTGTCCCATTGCTAAGCCTGGAAACTCTCTAATATCAACAACCATTTTGACATTAAAGTTAACTTTAGACTGTGATGTTTAGACCTTGAGTTATGTGTCTGAGAAACAAAGTAACAGTCTCGAACTTAAGTGTATGATAAGCAGGTTGACATGCAGCATAATATACTACTTGTCTTGACAGACAATCTAGGATAATTTTTGATACCATCTTGACATTTCCGTAGGATTTTACCAGAATTTGTTGCAAGAAAAGGTCCATGCAACATATATCTATGTTCAGGAGCTTAGGCATGGGTGAAAACCCACAGCTTCCTAGCGAGCTATAGATGAGGCAGGACGGTGCTCACTGCAGCAGAGGAAAGAAGAATGTCTGCTGCACCTGAGCTCTTCTAAACCCTTAAGTCCTCTGAGTAGGGGGTAAGTGCTTCATTGTTGATCTCAAAATAAAAATAAAAACACTCTCCTTGTTCCACCTCTGATGCGTGTCCCTCCTACAGGGAAGTCTTGGTTTTTATTATGCTAAATGGCACTAGCACTGATGTTGAGACACCGGACAGTCGTAAGTGCTGTAGGAAGAACTCAATTTAGCAGACCGGCCATGAATCCAAAGACAGGAGAAAATTCAGAGCCCGCTATGATTGGGGGTTACTGTGAAGTGAAAAAGATCAGTGGATGGTTTTGGCAGCAGTAAGAGGAGTGCATAGGTGAAGCACAGGGAATTTAAAGTCACTGCAACTATTCTATGTGACACTGCAGTGGTGAATACACAGTGTTGTGCACTTGTCAAAACCCACATACATTTCAAAGAGTGAATCGTAATATAAACTGTATATATTAGTTGAATCTACATTGTCAGGAGTGATATTAGCTAAGTACATTAATTTGACGATATTGGATGCAATCATAAATTTGAAAATATATAGCAGAGTCATGTAAGATGTTAACAATATAGGAAATTTTATGCCAGGAAAGGGGATATAGAGGAAGTGCATAATATCTGCTCATTTTTCTGTATGCTATATTGTCTGTAATAATAATGTCTAGTAAGTAATAAAAAAATGAAACCTGAAAGCACCATGCAATGCAGAAAATATGCCACTGTTTACTTCTCAAAGAGAATTTTTTTTTAAATTTCATTAATTTTTTTATTAGCCCATGTTTGCAGTATTGCAGTTTATCACCATGCACTGGAGTGGATAAATGTACTTAGTACAACTTGACTCTTTTTTTAATCCCAATCTCCTTCTCTCCCACCTCATTCCCACTCCTGCAAATCCCCTTTCCCCACTTTCACTTTTGCTGGTATTATCAATCATGTCACGTTTATGACACAGATTATTTACATTCACGGAGGTTATTAGGCTCCTGCACCTGACAGGTCTTTAACTTACATTTTCCCTTTCCCCTCACGCTCTTCTCTTACCCACATTTCTCTTCTCATGTGCAAGGAATCTATCTCTGTCTCCTATTTATCCTTTATGGTGTGCTTTGTCATACATTGCCTTACTGAAATACGAGGTACTATACAATATTTATGTTTATGATTTTGAACTTTATCACTCAACATTACATTTTCCAGGTACATCCATTTTGCTACAATTGGCTCAAATTTGCCTTTCTTTACAACAAATTATAATGCCATTATCCATAGATTCCACACTTTTTTCTGTAGCAACCTGTTGATGGGTATACAAGTTTCCTCTAGGATTAAGCTACTATGAATTGTGCTGCTATAAATACTGGTATTCATGTGTCAGTATAGTATGTATTTAGCTCTTTAGAGATGGTACCTGGAAGGGGGAGTTCTGGTTCACATACAAATTCGAATTTCCTTAATGGGTGTAGAGTTTTAAATTACAACCAATAATATAGAAGGTTTACTTTTTTCACTGCAGGCATCCCAGCATTTATTATTACTTTTATTTCTTGATGATTACCATCTTTTCTGGTGTAAGATACAATCTTAACATTGTTTTAATTTGCATTTATCTCATATTTCCCATATGTTTGTTGGGCATTAGAATTTTTTCAATATGTCTGTTCATTCCAATTGCCCATTTCGTGATTCTTTTCTTTCAGGTGGTCTGATTATTTAGTTCTTTATATATTCTATATATTAGTCTTCCATCTGAGGAATAGAGATTAAAAATTATTTCCCTTTCTGTGAGTTGTCTCTTCACTTTAACAACTGATTCTTTTGCTGTGCAGAAGGTTTTTTTTTAATTTAATATAATCCCTAATGGTGATTCTTCCTGCTGTTTCTTGTGTACTTGTGGTTCTGTTTATTAAATCCAAGTTTTAAAATAGAACAAATATTTTATGTTCCTCATAAACATTGAGTGAACATGTTTGGAGCAGCTTCATCTGTAACACTGAAACACTGGAAATAAAAACCCTGAATGTGCTTAGATGGAATACTGGTTAAGAAAAAAACAAAAACTTTTGGTACATACATTATTGGAATACTATTAAGCACTACAAAGGAGATGACTTTTCACATACAGATAGAGCTGGATGAAACTCCATATAATTTGGTCAAATTTTAAAAATCAATACAAAGTCTTACAAATCCTTGTAAATTTGTATGATAACATCATTGAAGGGATTGGATGACACAAATGAAG